TCCAGTTCTCCAAGAATACTTAAAGAGCAAATGTTAATGGTACAATCTTGCCTTCCATTGTGCAGCACATTCACTAAATTCCTTGGAAAATCATTTTCTGACACTGCATTCACAACTTTAGAGCATTTTATTCTGCATAATGAAAACAAGACCATACTATTTTTGCATGAACCAGGTAATAGTACCTTGAACGTATCTGTAAGAAAAAAAAAAAAAAAAAAAAAACAAACACATAAAATATATCAGATTTAACTCCAAAGTTTGCTGTACAGCAAATCTACAGAAAAAGAGACCTCCTAAAGTCTGGGGGAAGAGAAAAAAAAAAAAAAAAAAAAAAAACAACACACGTTTATTTTAACACTATAGTGCTCATACAAATTTCAGTATTTATAGATTAAATATTGATACATATCCACTGACCTCAAGACAAAACAGCAAGGGGATTTACTTTCACCCAGCCTTTCTGTAACATATGCATCCGTGTCCCAAAGTGGACTCTTCAGCTGTTCATATTTCCACCTTTCAGGACACTTTCAATGGGGAATTAAAAGCTTTCCAAGAAGCCAAAATTCTTCTTAATCCTATTCACAGCTCTACATCACTAAATACCTCCTTCTCCGGCCTGCACATTGTGAAAGTTTAATGGTACAGACGACACTCAACTTAAGCTCAGGGGTTAATAAAACATTTTTTCTCTTATCTAGGTATCTCCAGTAGGAGACTCTGCCCATACAAGATTCAAACCATCCCTGCCACTGATGAATAAGGAACCTAGGGCAATCAGCTTGCTAATTTAGACATGCCAGTTGAGTGCCTAAAGTTGAATGAATCCAAGCAAAGTGCCTCCAAGTTAGGCACCATGTGTCTAACCCCTGAGACACCTGAGTTCCTTTACACAGCCCATACTGGTTACAGTAATTACATGGGTGTCCAAATACAGTACTCAGAATAAAATAAATTGAGTTGTAAAATGAGTTTTCAGAGAAGCAGTAAATGCATTCTGCTAACACTGTGATACTGCAAAGCTGTTAATGGGAGGAAAACCAAGGCCCCAAAATCCAAAAATCTTCACCCAAGTTGCTTGTTTATGCACCACACATGAAGTTTTGTCAGTCTTTCATAACTGGAGCCTTATAAAGTTTTCCAGTTCCAGTACATGAAGCATTCTGGAAAAGAGATTCTGTGGCCCTCTAGTAGAAACACTTGGGAAACTAGGAGACCATGAATATATGGATAACCTTGACAGCTCAAACAAAAAAACTGCCTAGCTCAGTATTCTCTCCAACAGCAGCCACAAGCAGATGTTCAGGAAAGGGTAAGATCAGGGAAGTATAAACAGTACTCTCTTGAGTATTTTCTAGCTTCTGTTTTCAAACCATGGGGTTTCCTCCCATGAAGCACCTCTCCATGTACTTGCCCACATAGCTCTGTGGATCTGTATAATCCTTCTGCATTTACAATCTCTTTTGACAAGCAGTTTCACAGCCTACCACCTGCTGCAGTAAAAGTGCATCTTTTGTGTCCTCTGCCCCCATCTCCTGCTAACCTCACTGGTGAGCCTTGGTTAGAACATAGCTCTAAGAATGCTAATCTCACTCTTGAGTCTTGGTTAGAAAAGGGAGTCAGCTCCTCCACCCCAAATCATTCAGAACGTACAGAGTCACAACTGTCCACATGTAAAGAGTCCTTGCTTATCTAGTCATTCCCCATAGGGAATCTATTCCAATCTCAAAGTTCCTTGTAAGAAAAAGCTCTATGCATACAAAGATTTTTTTTTTTCTGTATTATATTTTATATTCACCAGCCACAGAAACACAATTAAAAACCCTACTGCATATCTTTTTAGAATTAAATAGAAACCAATGCTTTATCCACCCCTCATTTTAACTAGTGTTTATAATGATATTAAAGTCTTAGAAAGATCTGTTTTTTTAAAAAAACCTGACTTATTTTACAAAATTAAATTCATAAAAAAATTATTAGTTTAAAACCCTACACGAGCACCTTCTACTTCAGAGTATGATGTGGGAAAAAAGCAAATATCTACAAGCTAAGTAAAACTTAACTGTGGAAATTGGTTATTCAAATGAGAAAAATCCCCAATTCACATTCATTACCAGAATTTACAACAACTGGCAAACAAATCTACTGTTCCAGTGCATTCAGAAGTCAGTATAGGTCATAAGACCTAAAAAAATCTTAGTCACTGTGTGACAAAAAGGTTCCCCCAGATTCTCCACAGTTCCCAACAGTAACAGAGGCTGCCATGATGTCAGAGGAACCCACAACTGGCAACAGCAACCACAGACATCTGACTGCATGTAAGTACAGTAAAAAAGCCCAGTCAAAAACAGTCAAGTGGTCAAGAGTGTCATGAAAAAGTGGTTCTCAGAGTACACTAACTGATTTCTTACAAACTCACATGAGGAGCACTAGCTTCAAATGTCAAGGATCCTTGGAAATGGACCTCAATGACATAAGAAATGAACAAATGAACACAGGTCATATAGCAACACATCCAAAGAGCCTAAATGTCCCCAGATACTCCTACCATATCGAGAGTTTGAATGGATGACTGCATAGATGATGGAGGTGCTTCACCAAGGGTTGCAGGTCCCTTGTCCCCACACCCCAACACACAGCACTGACACTAACAACATATCGCTCAGTAGCTGATACAGCATCTGCATAGTAAACTGGCCAGTATTTCAACAACCGAATTATTTCAAAAACATAAATTGTGTTTCCAATGAAAAGAATTACATTTGTTTAAGTTCACTCTTATTAGAGCTGGACAGTACATGACACAATTTTTCATTTTTTTTAAAACATCTACGTTTGAAGTAGAACTTTTTCTCAAAATTGATGGTCATTAAAAAGCTTTTTAAACTACATCCTTCAATTTTCACTACCACTTGAAGACATTTAACGTTTAATTTATAAATCAAATAAAAAACTCCTAAAATGTCCCACAAATAAACATCCTGATTTTTCTTAAAACATTAATGAAGCATGCAGTCCTTTGCAACAGTGACCGTAGTATATCAGGTGACAGTTCCAAGGCTTCAGAGAGCACAGGTGCATTTTCTGCATCAACACATCCTCCTGATGCACACAACTTCCACTGCTGTAGCTTATGCTGTTTTGTCTCCTTCAGAAAATTCTTTGATACTACTGCAAAATTACTAACATAGAAAGACTAAAGCGTTTTCATTTCTAGTCCTTCTATTTACCCATCAGATTGTTGTTCCTAAACTTCCATATTCCAATAAAAAAAAAAAAAAAAAAAAAAATCAGCACTCCTTTGGACTAAAGACACTAGCACATGCTTAAACATAGTGCTCAGTTTTCAGCTGAACTGGGAACAAACATACCTATGTTCATAAGCAAATCAAATTTTCAAAAATATTTACATCACAGAGAATGTTTACATTTTCCTTATTATATTTACATTAAATAAATTTAAACTTACTATAGTATAAAAAGGTTTGCACACTATAGTATCACGACAGAATAACTAAAATTTTCAAGCAGTATTTCATATTAACAATTTTGCTACAAATACTTGATGAAAAAATACAATTTTACTTGTCACTATTCTTCCTGTTCTGTTCCGAATAGATCTAAACTGCAACACATTCGTTTCCGATGGGATATTTTTAAAAGATATGCCATGGCATCGTGATAACGCATACATCACGCTGCATTGAAAGACCATATGTTGCAATTGTGAAAGATATTCTGAAGCAGATACAGTCACTACTGCCTGCTGCTATCCAGAATCCTCTGTAAACTACCCGAAGTAATGATGTTCATCCTTTACTATTCAACTGAAAGTTTTTTATTATTTTCCTCCTTCTACATTTCTGGCACCTCTAAATCTATAACTTCTTTTTTGAAATCATCATTACATACCTGAAGCCAGGTATGAAAGGATACCCAGAAAGTCTGATGTGTGTGCCACGTTTAACCCATCTGCATATTTCTGCAGGAGAACACTACCTGTAACCCATCATTTACAGACAACAAGAAACAAATGCCACAACATTCTTATAAGAAATTCATGCAACACCCTCATCTAGCAACATCAGTTACTTTATCTATCTCCTGCACGGCTAGCTGTAAGACTAATAAAGCTACTCAGCAGGCAAGGGATTTAATGAAATAGACCCTGGGTTCCTGGAAGGATCACCTGTGGTTCCAACTCTAACACTTCTGATCAAATACAAACTCTCTTCCTGCTGCTGAGCAATAGACTTTTCTGAAACTTGATCAAACATGCTCCAGAGGAGGGAGGGTGTAATAATAGGTTATAAAGTATTCAAGTGTGTGGGAGAACAATTGATTGCGGTGAAAGGGTGGAGGAGAAGAAACCATTTAAAAAATAATAGAAATTGACAGCTTTTACATTTAGGTCACTTGAGCAGCGAAACAAGTTCACAGCAATTCTTTCAATAAGCAACAATACAATTAAGCATATGTACTAATCATCATTAATAAACCACAAAAGCCAACATTAAAAAAAAAAAAATACAGCCTTGAACTGTTACAGGTTCCCAGTTTCTACAAATATTTTCAATTCTGTTTCCCATACAAGGCTCAGGCATCAAGATATAAATATTATAGAACAAACATCTCCCAGTGGCTATCTAATGAAAGTAAGGACCAAAATAAACAGCATCAAAAAAACCCCATCCCACTTATCAGTGAACGGTCTCAAGTTCTCTTCCCACTGCCTAACAAATATAAGTACTGTCTGCTTCCTGCTCCTTTATGTGAGAGGCTGGAGAGGGGACAATTTGGCTTCCCTTCCTCTGCAAGGAAGGGATGAAAAATTCCTTAATTATTGATCCTTCTAAATTAACCTGATTGATCCTTCTAAATTAAATCAAACATTCCTTACCTTGAAATCTAGTACATTCCAGTCTTAAATTTCCTTTAAAAAAGCTGATTTAATCTCCCATCTCTGGGTGAACTTCATATTCCAGGGGAAATCTTACCTAATTTTGGCAGGGAATAGGGCACTTTAAAATAATCTTCATAAAATTCAATGAGTCTCCTTGTAATATTTAGAGCATAGTCGCCCGATCCTCTTCGGATTGCATCAGGCCTTGCATATAACCGTACCTGTTAAAAAACAAAGTGAAAGACTGATCATTTCAGCATCTACATTTTAAAGCCGTCCTGCCTGCAGAGGTGATCTATTCTAAAGTGGTTGTGAGGTGGCAGGATTATTTTCTTAAAGCCAAATGTGACTGTTGTACATTTGGCAAAACAAGTCATAGCTGAAAACCAAAACTTCCACAATTAAGGTTACAAAGTTGAGAAGTCACAATCTCCCACTTGTTTGTGTTGCCAAATAAAAGACTTAACACTCCTTGCATCAAAATAAATATTCAAAGAAAACACTTACATGTGTTTGCTAGAGATATGATGGGAGAGTGGATTAGTATAATGGTTCTCTGCCTACACTGAATGGAGGCAGGATGCAGTGGCTCAGTAGGAGAGAAGTTCACGGTTTGTTAAAGGCACATTATATCTAGCCCTGAAAGTATTAGCAGACTGTGGAGAAGGAAAAAAAAAAAAAAAAAAAAAAAAAAAAAAAAAAAAAAAAAAGAAAAAATTGTTCTCTTGTCTTTTCTCTGGCAGTGATACAGTTACCCTCGATGAGCTATGGAAGACTGCAAAACCAACCATTTATAAACTCACTCATGTACACAAACAATTAACATTCCTGAAACCTCCATGAATGCTTCAGGCCCCTGTATTCAGAAAGCAGTGAATTAAAGCTGTTTATACAAGCCACAGAGTGCTGTATTCAGTATAAAACAGCTCACACATCTGACTACACAGAGCACCCAAGTGAACAGAACTCACCTTCATAATTCAGCACTCAAGTGTGACCCCGATTAAGGACACAGCAGAAAGCACCGTGAGGTTTTTCACTATTCCCTTATAATCCTTAACACTTCCTTAGTGCAAAGATGACATGCAGCTGAGAACTGTTAACCAACAAAGGGATAGAAAGGAGAGATGTTCTTCTCCTTCCTCATACGCTGTCTGATGGAAGCAGTGCTTTGTCTCTAGTGGCTGTAGCACAAGGTCTCTCCCTGCAGTACATAATGACCTGATACAAACAAGACTCTACTAGATGTTAGTCCTAATAATAATATCTGACTTGCTAATACTTTCTGTGGTAGGATTAAACCCCAGCCAGAGTTTTGAGGAAAGCAGCAGGGCAGAAATCACAAAATATCAACGGAAACATGGAGAATTATCAGTTTTGAAATATTTTTAAATGCTTCATTCTGGACCAAGAAGAGCCAATGGGATTTTCAGCTTCAATTAAAGCATTTACCAAGTATTGCTTTACTGCTCTTTTCCTGAACCAGTTCAGTTATCCAAGTGGAAACCAGATATCAAACATCAGTACACTGTATCTGTCAATTCTGTTTTAACCTACCACCTCTTTGTTTTCAGTATGCAGATACATTATTCTGCTTTGTTACTATGTCCTTCTTTATATTATCTTTGTGCTGTATTAGACTCTGCGCAATCAACCATACATAGTTATCATTTGTAATGTAAAACAGGTAACAATGTAACCTAATGAGACATGTAATAAAGCAGACTTCTCATAATCACCACCTGAAAGCATATAAACCATTACCTGAATACCCCCAAGTAACTATTTCTGTTTATCGCTTCCTTCCAAAGTTACCAGTGTCATGTACATGAAATGTTCCCTTATCTGCTAAACTAAATATATTTCTTAATAAAATAGATATTAACCAGAGAGATCTTAATTCAAACATCTCAAAACCTTTAGTTTATGAAAGGAAGGTAAGAATCACTATTAGATTTGTGATGAACACTGTTTTGTATCATTAAACCTTTATACACAATTTTGCATAATTGCTTTACTGGCACAGTTGACTGTATCAGCAAATTAGGAAAAAAAGAGTCAGCCAACCAAGTACGCAAAAAAAATCATTCAATTTGACAGTGGCCAAATGTGTCCATAATAAGGACTAGGACAACAGAAGGGAAGAAAAAAAAATAGGCACATACAAGAAAAATTGAGGTTCAACTTACTGCATTACAACTCATGTCTTTTGGCAAATACAGAAAACACATTTAATCGTGTCTGAGACAGAGCCCAGGTATCAAAGCTCAAAAAACCGCAATGATGAAAACTTTGATTTGCCACCTGCCTAACACTGAATATAGTTTTATTTTGCCCATAAAGTTTCTCTGGGTACCTCTCTGCCTGCCCAGAACAGCTCCAGACTGCCAGGGCTCCGTGGCTCACTCCAAGGTCACCCCTAAGCTGGAATGCAGTTCAGAAATTACCCGTGCCTTTGCCCGGGTCTCTCAGGGGCTTTGAGGCAAACGTGCATTGCCAAAGCTTGCCAGCCGTCTTCAAACACTGGGCCTGCTTCTGCCCTCCACCCAACCACCACCGAACGTAAAACGTATGGAGGAACCTTCGAGGCACCATCGCAGACCTACCTCTGGCCTCAGAAAATTCCTGCTTGGTTAGCAGAGGGCTACTGCAGGGGACAGGCTGTGACACTGCCCACCTGGCTGCCTGTTCTGGATGACACCTTCTCAGGTGTCGTTCATGACATAAGGAGCTTGGTCCAGAGTTCAGTCTAAAGGCTGGCACCTATAAGCTTGAAATTGAAGCCCCTAACTTTCACACACTGATGACCTTTAATGTGTATGGGCTTATCTTGACCATGTTCTACCTCCAAATCCCTCAAATGGGGATTATATTATTTCCTTAGCTTATACAGAGATTCTGAGTGTTAAGTAATTAAGACTGTAAAGTTTTCAGATACTGCTCCAAAGAGAAGCTTAAGTAAATAAAACAGAATGAAGATTAAGTCATGAGATTTGTTTAGCATAATTTTTTTGTTTGTTTACTGCTTTAATTTCAAAAGGCAGGTAGGTTGTGTTACTTTATAACTATGTTGGACTGAACAGTAATGTGTAACTATTATATACTTTCCCACCGGCTGTTTGATCACTATACTAAGAATTTGATTTTACATTAATTTAAGTAAGAGAAGGAACAGAAAAATCTTCTGCAGAGTCAGACCTAAGTATAAATAAAAGTAGTATGCATTCTCCTACAAAAGATAAATAGGTTTCTAGCTTAAGTACATAATTCATCACTCATTGGAATGGCACCTACTGCACTGCAAATATCAGTGAAGCTCTTTTTCACAATCTTTGCAAGATTAGGTTATACTATTATTTTCACGTAAGAAAGTAGAGAACAAAGAGAGACTGAGACTAATTCTGGGTGCTTATCTTGACACCTCTCAATGTCAAGTATACTTAAGAGTTTTATTGCACACACTTAAAGCACTGTTCCCATTATATCTCATTGCAGTGGTGAACATTTTATACAGCTTTAAGTCTAGTCACAGGTGCCTTAGTTTGGGTATTAACAAAATTAGCAACACATAATTAGTGACTAAATGAGACTGTGTCAGCTTATGTGATTTGCTTGGCATCTCATAGCAACTCTGGTGGCAGAAGCAGGGAGGGAATTAAAAAATGGCATTCAGCCCCACGGTCACCTGACAGCCTGTACCAAGCACCTTCCACGTTTGGGAATTAATAAGGTAGAGACTGTTCAGGCAACAGGCATATTCACAGTACACTGGTGTTGTCCTGATGTAGCATAGTTCCCCATGTGTCTAAACAACAAAAATACCAGAAAAATATTATGAGGTATCATAGTAATGACACTGTCATAATACCTATGAATATAACAAAGTTCACACAGTCAACCTAAATTCTGGGTGTTTTTAACTCCTTTACACCCACATTTGCAACCATTACCAATCTTTTAACAGAAGTTCTGACTTCTAAGAAAAGAACAAAATCGAAACCTCTCATTTCTCTCTCAAACGGAGCCAGACTGACCATCTCCTTCCTACAGCAAGTTTGAGTAACTAGGTTTGCACCTGTAGCCCTACAACCCGGACCTCCCCTCTGACATTAGTACGACACTGCTGTTCTTAGATTGCACAGCCACCGATGGAGAAGACTAGTCACACTTTGCTAGAAATAACTTTCAGTTTTGTTAGCAGTGGAGCAAGAAGTTATTAGAGATCCTAAATGAAATTGCTGCAATGTGTATTTTCTCATTCTTTTCTAAAGTGAGCAAAAATGTGAGTTGTTTCCCCTTGTTTGCTTTCCAGAAGCCCTGGGCTATTTTCATTAGAACTTTATTTAAAGACAATACAATAGCCACATTCAGGTACCCCCACAGAAAACATCATCCTGAAGGACTACTTTAAAAAGATTAGTAATCTAACTCGAGTTCTTAGAATTACTTTGGCAGCATTATCAGATAAAATACTAAAATATTCCTGAAATTTCAATGGTAAATTCCATGTATTTGTTTTAAGTGATACATAGTCTACTTCTCTATAGTTAGTCAAAAGTATTTGCTGTACAACAAGTGTACTTTCACTAATAATTTGTACATATTGCAACGTTTCCTGTAGTCTCTCTTAATATTTCAGCATTTGTTACATAAAATAAGTCAAAGTAATTTAGAAATATTTGTAATACCACGTTGCCGGAACAGATGAATGTGATTGTAAAATGAGAGCTGTTTCCCATTGTAAGGGACAGTTGTGATATACTCTAAGAAATGCGTGACAAATGTAGAACAAATCAAATCTACATGAAGTCAGATTATTAACTACTGTGCATGAGAAAATCTTCATGTCTACAGTAGGTAAAAATTATTCATCAAAAAGAAAGTTAGCACTTAAAAAGAAAAAAAGAGAGAGGTTTTTCTTGTCTTATTACTTCAGTGTTTCAAAAAAATGTGAATTAGTAACTACATACAAGGTATAATGGATAAATTCTGACAAGTACAAACTGTAAATAGCAATGAACATTTTGATTTCTGGTGAATAGTATGTTCACTAAAAATATTTCCACTGTACCAAAGACTAGTGATAATTTCAGCCCATAAACAGAGGAATGGATTCAGAGAAAGCAGAACTGTTCTATTGTGACATTTTAAAATCACGACTTCTTGGTTTTATTTTCTTTTTTTTTTTTTTGCATTAAAATTGAAGTTCATGAAAAAAAAA